CTGTCTCCGGGTCTGCAGCTGCAGAGATCAGGAAACGTCTCAGTCCCTGTGATTGGCGCTGCGCGCTGTCAGCTTCCTGGCGGGCTCGGGCACGTGGAGCTGCGAACACGCCCGAGCTCATCCTTAGACTCCTCACCACACACAGCCACAAAAGCAAGAGAATTCTTGTTGGGCAGTGTATTAGTGCTCGGACGAACACACTTAGACCAAAACCTCTGGCACTGCGCTCACATGATCCTTTCCCCTTCTGGTCAATTTCAAAAATGGCGACTGTAAATAAGAGAAGGAAAGTTGACAGTGAGGGCCGCCGCTTCCAGGACAGGTGGAAAGTGGAATATTTCTTCACTGAAATACGGAATCACTATGTTTGTCTCATATGCCAAGAGACTGTGGCTGTTTATAAGGAATTTAATGTCAAGAGACACTACCAGTCGAGACATAGCACATACGACAAGCTAACAGGGCGTGACCGCAGTGAAAAGTTGAAGCAACTTGAAGCTGTTTTAATGTCACAACAGCAATTTTTCACAAGAGCCCGTGAGTCAAATGAAAATGCCACAAGGGCGAGCTATGAGGTGGCAACGTTAATTGCTAAAAATTGCAAATCTTTTGCTGAGGGTGACTTTATCAAAGAATGCGTTATGAAAATGGTTGAGAATATCTGTCCCGAGAAGAAGCAACAGTTTGCCAACATTTGCCTGGCTTGTAACACCGTCGCACCGAGAATTGAAGAGATTTCATCAGATATTAAGAGACAGTTGACGTCCAAAGGAGTGGATTTTGACTTCTTTTCAATAGCCTGTGATGAAAGCACGGACCTATCTGACACAGCTCAGTTGCTGATTTTTATGAGAGGGGTGGACGATGAAATGAATGTGACTGAAGAGCTACTTGACCTCCAGAGCCTTACGGACCAAACAAGAGGAAAAGATTTATTTGTTTCTGTTAGTTCCGCCATAGATGACATGAAACTGCCTTGGAACAAAGTTACTGGGATTATTACTGATGGGGCACCTGCCATGGTTGGTGAACGAAGTGGATTATCAACCCTAATCTGTAACAAGGTGATCGAAGAAGGAGGCAAAGCTATTAAACTCCATTGTATCATTCATCAACAAGTTCTCTGTGCTAAACATCTCAAATATGATCATGTTATGAAACCGGTGCTAAAGACTATTAATTTTATTCGCTCTAAAGCCCTGTGCCACCGCCAGTTTAAACAGTTTCTACTGGACATCCAGGCTGAATACGAAGATGTTTTATATCACAACGATGTAAGATGGCTCAGTCGGGGGTCTGCACTGCAGCGTTTCTACTCTCTCAGAAAGGAAATCGGAGAATTCTTGGAAACAAAGGGACAACCAATGCGAGAACTATCTGATCCTATTTGGCTGGCTGATTTGGGGTTTCTAGTTGACATAACAAAGCATCTGAATGTACTGAACACGAGTCTTCAGGGGAAAGATGCAGCGGTGAACCAGCTTTATTCACACCTCAAAGCCTTTGGGACAAAGCTGCAACTTTTCATAAGGCAGTTGTCACAAACACAGCCCAATACCATATTTAATTTTAATGGTTCAAAGAATGTCAGGCAAAATGGTCGGCCCTCACGCATGTTCACTTCTTCAAATCTGGCCCTCTTTGAAAAAAGTTTGGACACCCCTGCTCTAAGGTCTATAGAATGCGATAACAGCACTTCCCTACCTCAAAAGGGTGTTGCAAGAGTAAGACACAGATGTTTGGATACTATAGTGATGAAGTCATAAAAGTGATGCTGTCAAGCGATTAAAAAAATCGTTATTAATGGCGTAATTAAAAAAATTGATTGTGATTAATCGCGCGTGCTGCCCCTTTGAAATGCTGTGGCGGCGTTTCAAAGGGGCAGTGCTGGGGAAACCCGGGATCTACTGGAGTCCTCAGCTGACCCCAGGCTCAGTGCAGCTGCTGCTTTGAAACGCAGTGGCAGCGTTTCAAAGGGGCAGCACCACAGAAGCCTGGGATCAGCTGGAGTCCCCAGGTGACCCTGGGCTCCGTGCAGCACTGCCCCTTGGAAATGCCGCCCTGGAGTTTCCAAGGGGCAGCACCGCAGGAACCCAGGGTCAGCTGGAGTGCCCAGCTGATCCCCAGCTCCACGTTCCATTTCCCCTTTGAAGTGCCACTCCGGCACTTCAGAGGGGCAGAGCTGCACCGAGCCCAGGGTCAGCTGGGGACGCCAGCTGATCCCAGACTCCTAATGTGCTGCCCCTTTAAAGTGCCGGTGCGACACTTCAAAGGGGCAATGCAGCATTAACACCTGCAATTATCGCATTAAAAAAAATAACGCGTTCATCCTGCCCTGCATTAATTGCAAGCGTTAACACACATAAATTGACAGCCCTACACAAAAATATTCTAAGATAGAAAATATGACCAAACATCCTCACAAAGCTTTAAAACATACATGGTAAAAGGCCTAGAATGCTTTTGTAATTAAAGGAAACATGGGTAAGTAAAATCCGTCCTTATTATTTCTAAATATTTTCCTATTTTTTTCTCTTACAACCAGGTGTTGTCAGAAATTGAAGACTGCCAATACATTCCCTCCCTCTGCCTTATATCAAGAAACTACAAACAAGGAGATCTGGGAACAGCTTCCTGCAAAGCCCTCGATGCTATTCAAGTTCGGTGGAAGTCAAAAGGTATGTCTACACAGCAGACAGAAGCGGGCTTCCCCCCAACATAGACAGACATACTAACTCTACTTAAGATAGCAAGCTAAAAATAGCAGTGTGGATACAGCATGATGGACAATGATTTGGGCTAGCCACTAGAATACAGTCCTGCCTAACCATCTGGGTACATACTCTGGCTGCCAGCACATGCAGTTACCTGCACTGCCATGCCACCCTGCTATTTTTAGTGCACTAGTGAAGCTAGTGCATGTCTGTCTTCCCATACTGGGAGGCACTCTTCCATCTGCAGTGTAGACATAGTCTTAAGCCCTATATTATGCTCTCCATTCAACAGTGACAAACCAGACTATGTTTTTAGTCCTACCAATACTTCAAAATGGACTCTGAAGCAGACTTGTTAATTTTAATTTTCCTCATGGCTACATGTAGTGCTATCACTTACCTACTCTGAGTGGCATTCTATACAGCTTTAACAGTTTTTAATGTTATTAATTAAATTTACTCATATTAATCATATTCATCCTGCCCTGCGTTGTCATGGAAGGGTATAAACTGTTCAGGCAGGGGAGAAAAGGAGGAGTTGCACTGTATGTGAGAGAGCACTATGATTGCTCAGAACTCCAGTATATAGACGGAGAAAAGCCTGGTAAGAGTCTATGGGTCAAGTTTAGAGGTGTAAGCAACAGCAGTGACGTTGTGATTGGTGTCAGCTACAGGCCGCTGAATCAGGTAGATGAGGCTTTCTTCAGACAACTGAGAGAAATTTCCAGATCGCAGGCCCTGATTCCAGATCGCAGGCCCTGGGGGACTTTAATCACCCTGACATCTGTTGGCAGACCAATATAGCAGTACACAGACAATCCAGGAAGTTTTTGGAGAATGTTGGGGATAACTTCTTGGTACATGTGCTGCAGGATCTGACCAGAAGCTATGCGCAGCTTGACCTGCTACTCACAAACAGTGAGGAGCTTATAGGGGAAGTAGAGGTGGGTGACAACCTGGGAAACAGTGATCACGAGATGGTAGATTTCAGGATCCTGACCAAAGGAAGAAAAGGGACTAGTAAAATACATATCTTGAACTTCAGAAAAGCAGACTTCAACTCTCAGAGACCTGATGGGCAGAATCCCCTGGGATGCTAACATGAAGGGGAAAGGAGCCCAGGAGAGCTGGCAGTATTTTAAAGAAGCCTTATTGAAGGCACAGAAAGAAACCATTCCAATGCGTAGTAAGAGAAGCATATATGGTAGGAGACCAGATTGGCTCACCAGGGAAATCCTTGGTGAACTTAAGCACAAAAAGGGAGCTTACAAAAAGTGGAAACTTGGACAGATGACTAGGGAGGGGTATAAATGTATAGCTCAAGAATGCAGGGGAATTATCAGGAAGGCAAAAGCGCAATCGGAATTGCAATTAGCAAGGCATGTGAAGGATAACAAGAAAGGTTTCTACAGGCATGTTCATAGAATCATAGAATACTAGGACTGGAGGGGACCTCGAGAGGTCATCGAGTCCAGTCCTCTGCCCTCATGGCAGGGCCAAATACTGTCTAGACCATCCCTGACAGACATTTATCTAACCTACTCTTAAATATCTCCACAGATGGAGATTCCACAACCTCCATGGGCATTTTATTCCAGTGTTTGACTACCTGACAGTTAGGAACTTTTTCCTAACGTCCAACCTAAACTTCCCTTGCTGCAGTTTAAGCCCATTGCTTCTTGTTCTATCCTCAGAGGCCAAGATGAACAAGTTTTTTCCCTCCTCCTCATGACACCCTTTTAGATACCTGAAAACTGCTATCATGTCCCCCCTCAATCTTCTCTTTTCTAAACTAAACAAACACAATTCCTTCAGCCTTCCCTCATAGGTAATGTTCTCTAGACCTTTAATCATTCTCGTTGCTCTTCTCTGGACCCTCTCCAATTTCTCCACATCTTTCTTGAAATGTGGGGCCCAGAACTGGACACAATACTCCAACTGAAGCCTAACCAGCACAGAGTAGAGCGGAAGAATGACTTCTCGTGTCTTGCTCACAACATACCTGTTAATGCATCCCAGAATCATGTTTGCTTTCTTTGCAACAGCATCACTCTGCTGACTCATATTAAGCTTGTGGTCCACTATGACCCCTAGATCCCTTTCTGCCCTACTTCTTCCCAGACAATCGCTTCCCATTCTGTATGTATGAAATTGATTGTTCCTTCCTAAGTGGAGCACTTTGCATTTGTCTTTATTAAACTTCATCCTATTTACCTCAGACCATTTCTCCAATGTGTCCAGGTCATTTTGAATTATGACCCTATCCTCCAGATTAGTCGCAACCCCCAGCTTATTAAGATCTGCAAACTTAATAAGCATACTTTCTATGCCAATATCTAAATTGTTGATGACGATATTGAACAGAGCCAGTCCCAAAACAGACCCCTGCGGAACCTCGCTTGTTATGCCTTTCCAGCAGGATTGTGAACCATTAATAACTACTCTCTTAACATGTTAGCAAAAAGAAGGTGATCAGAGAGCGTGTGGGGCCCCTACTGGATGAGGGCAGTAACCTAGTGACAGATGATGTGGGGAAAGCTGAAGTACTTAATGCTTTCTTTGCCTCTGTCTTCACGGACAAGGTCAGTTCCCAGACTAATGCGTTACGTGACACAATATAGGATGAAGGTGGACAGCCCTTGGTGGGGAAAGAACAGGTTAGGAACTATTTAGAACAGCTAAACATACATAAATCCATGGGTCTGGACTTAATACATCCGAGGGTACTGAGGGAGTTGGCAAATGTCATCGAGGAGTCTCTGGCCATTATCTTTGAAAAGTTGTGGAGATAAGGAGAGATCCCGGATGATTGGAAAAAGGCAAATGTACTGCCCATCTTTAAGAAAGGGAAGAAGGAAGATCCAGGGAACTATAGGCCAGTCAGTCTTACCTCAGTCCCTGGAAAAATCATGGAGGGGATCCTCAAAGAATCCATTCTGAAGCACTTGGAAGAGGGGAAGGTGATCAGGAATAGTCAGCATGGATTCATGAAGGGCAAGTCGTGCCTGACCAATCTGATTTGTTTCTATGATGAGGTAACTGGCTCTGTGGATATGGAGAAGTCAGTGGATGTTATATACCTTGACTTTAGCAAGGCTTTTGATACAGTCTCCCACAACATTCTTGCCAGTAAGTTAAGAGAATGTGGATTGGATAAATAGACAGTAAGATGGATAGAAAGCTGGCTGGAAGGTCGGGCCCAGCGGGTAGTGATCAACGGCTCAATGTCAGGATGGCGGTCAGTTTCTAGCCGAGTGCCCCAAGGTTTGGTTCTGGGACCGGTTTTGTTCAACATCTTTATTAATGACCTCGATGAGAGGATGGATTGCACCCTCAGCAAGTTTGCAGATGACACTAAGCTAGGGGGAGAGGTAGACACGCTGGAGGGAAGGGATAGTGTCCAGAGTGACTTAGACAAATTGGAGGATTGGGCCACAAGAAATCTGATGAGGTTCAACAAGGACAAGTGTAGAGTCCTGCATTTGGGACAGAAGAATCCCAAGCACTGTTACAGGCTGGGGACCAACTGGCTAAGTAGTAGTTCTGTAGAAAAGGATCTGGGGGTTACAGTGGATGAGAAGCTGGATATGAGTCAACAGTGTGCCCCTGTATCCAAGCAGGCTAATGGCATACTAGGTTGCATTAAGAGGAGCATTGCCAGTCTATCCAGAGATGTGATTATTCCTCTTTACTCGGCTCTGGTGAGGCCACATCTGGAGTATTGTGTCCAGTTCTGGGTCCCCCATTATAGAAAGAATGTGGACGCATTGGAGAGGGTCCAGCGGAGGGCAACCAAAATGATTAAGGGGCTGGAGCACGTGACTTATGAGGAGAGACTGAGGGATTTGGGTTTGTTTAGTCTGCAGAAGAGAAGAGTGAGGGGGGATTTGATAGCAGCCTACAACTTTCTGAAGGGAGGTTCCAAAGAGGCTGGAGAAAGGCTGTTCACAGTAGTGATGGATGGCAGAACAAGAAGCAATGGTCTCAAGTTGCAGTGGGAGTGGTCCAGGTTGGATATTAGGAAAAACTATTTCACTAGGAAGGTGGTGAAGCACTGGAATGGGTTACCTAGGGAGGTGGTGGAGTCTCCATCCCTAGAGGTGTTTAAGTCCCGGCTTGACAAAGCCCTGGCTGGGTTGATTTAATTGGGATTGGTCCTGCCTTGGGCAGAGGGTTGGACTTGATGGCCTTCTAAGGTCTCTTCCTGCTCTATGATTCTAGGATAATCAAAATAGTATTTTGTTTTTACAAATTATATTTTTTTCAAGTTTTGTGGTACTAGAAATCTAATTTACTGAGCTAAATCTGTGAAACGAATCAGGATCTAATTCTTCCTCTGTTTTGCCCTTCACTTCTGAAGGGAACTGGTGTAAGAAACAAATCCACTCCTATTCTGAAATTTAAGATATTGATTGCTGATTATTAACATACAGACTCTTGCCCAAACTAATGCCCTAGCAAATAACCTGTAAAATGCACTAGCATGTAAAGTTTAGATTATTTTTAAATCACCCCATAAAGCATGGAAAGGTTGGAAGAAAGACAGTGATGTTTTAAAATGTACCCTTTTATTTTGTTGTCCAGAGTAAGATCCTCAGCATTTTCTTCCAATTTCTGAGCTTCTGTTGACTCCTGTTTATTTTCTTTTTCTTCATCTTCCTCCAATCCTAGTGTCTGATTTTCCACTTGTTCAGCACGGTCTTGTTCACCCCAAGCTAGACGTCTTTTGACTGGTACTGTGGGGGCATCTGACATGCCTAACTTCTCTGTGTTTTTCTGTTGGGGCTGTTCTGTTGAATCAGGTTGCTGAAGTAGGTTTTGGCTTACCGACATCTGTTTCTCAGAAACTCTGTAAAAGAAAACAGTGTTTCACACCAAATACTGTATTCCCTTTTTTACTAGGTATGAATGTGTCTCCATAAACTGAATTATCCAATTCAATAATCTATCAGAAATTAAGAATTTAGTTATTAAAATGAACATAAAATTAATCAGTCATTTAAAAAAAGGAGCTTAGAGTAGCCGTCTAAGTCCATACTTCAGCACCTACTTGATTTTCCGAAATGCTGAGCACTTAGCAGACTTCAGTCACTGGGAATGATTTAATGCTGAACACTTTTGAAAATTAGACTGGTGTTAAACTTTAGAGCCTATATTAAGGGTCTGTCATTTGAAAATCTTGTTTTTTAAATTGCTCTCAGAAGTCAAGCATTTGTGCATATAAATGAGACTAGTGTACAAGTATCCATTTTGCACAAAAACAAATCAGCAGGTTTTGACGATCAGACATTATGGTGTAATAAACACTCTTAGTTCTCATCTTGCTTTTATTATGGCTGTAAATATACAAATAGATCAATTATTTTCCCCCCTCCCCAATCCCATGCCTACAAGACACTGCATGGGAGAAAGAGCATTGTATATAGTATCTCATACAAAAGTTTTGTGCAATCAGATTTAAAGCGAAGTAACCAAACTGCTTTTTTTTTGGTTAAAAAATAATTACCAATACAACATTATTAATACAAATCTCTAAAACTTATTAGCAATAAATAAAAGATTTAGTATCTGTTCAATACATCTTTATAATCTCCAGACAGCAGAGGCAAAAAAAAATGTGACTGCATATTAGCTTTTTCTTCATTCTAGAAAAACAGTGCAGGGGGGCTACATTTGCTAACCACAATCCTATTGGTTTGTTGCTACAAAAACACTAATACACATTTATGTAGGCATGACAGTTTGCATAACAGATGGTTAGTCAAGGCCAACTCACCTTCTGTAAACTTCTTTTCATGTGCTAAATTAAGAGGTAATTGATTCAGTAATAAGTGATTAATCAGTTAATAAGATAATTCCGTCAATTAGATGTTGACAGTTAAAAGGGAGACAGGAAGAAAGAGAGAAAAAGAAGGGCAAAGCAACCCAGGATTGCAAAAAGAGCTCTTTTCCCTTCATCCTCACCTATACCTAGAGATTAGGATGAACCTTGGGGAAAGTCCTACCCTGCAGACACAATTCTATGAGACAAATCAAACACTGGGGCACCTACACAATAGTGTGCAAGGACTGCTTGTCAAGTGAAACACAAGGTGTGGGGGGAGCGTATGCTATCTATTTCTTTCAGTAAATATAGTCAACCTTCTTATTTGTGTTCTCAATCCATTTCAACAAAATTTTGTAGGAAAGTAATTGACTTTCCATCTGCTCTAAAAACATTTATGCAAAGTCTAGTAAATATTAGGGATCGTAGAATTCTGTTAAATCTCCATTTATTTTTTAGAAATTGAGTTTTTACAGCTACAGTATTGCATTCCCTTCACATCCTGAGTAAGCACCTTACCCAGCAAGATCTAGAGCTCTGATGGTGTTGCTGATGGTTTCTTCTGAACTGGAATTTGAGGATACTTCCCACAGTCTGTTGTTATCTGAGAGAATCTGATTCAGATGATCACGAGAGAAATGAGTTCCCTGTACTCGTTGCCGGTAAGCCTCCGCTTTCTCTCTAAGTTCCTTCACCTGCATATATAAATGTGTCAGAATGCTTTACAATTCAGTTAAGTTACTGTGAAGTGTTGTGCTAGATAACACCAGTTACACACAGTACAAGACCAGTCACAGCAAAAATACTATAAGGTGCAATACAAGCAACAACAAAAAAAGTTAAGCCAAAATAGCAAATGTATTTATTTAGAAAGCATGTGTTTGAGCAATCAAGCTAATGCATAGTTATCAATTATTTATGCAATAAGCATGAAAAGAATTATGCAGCTTCTATGAACAAGCTTAGTGTCGGATTCTATTTTTCCTTCAGAAACTATGTAATTGTTCCAAGCATTAAAATAAGAACTTAGGTGCAACCAACCTCCATATACCACATGTAATTTAGGATGTTTTGAGAATCCTAAGGGGAGGAAGTACAAAAACAGTCTTAATATTTCTTTTTTACATCATCACATGTTAACATAACTACTGTGTGAACCACTGTAAAACTATCACTATAGCTCTATGCTGCCTCCTTGAGATTAGGTACAAAAATGTTACTGTTATATTTTGGCAATATTATGTGTTTCTTACAGTCATGCATTAAGCATCTGAGTCTAACAATCTAAAAGGCCATTATTTTTAAATCAGTAACTTTGGAATACTTCAAGGTGGATGTTTAAGTGAATGAAACCTACTCATATGTACAAATGTGTTTGCAAGATCTGTAACTGGGACCATGAATCTTTGACACTACAATAGTCACCTGCTTTAAGTCTATACAGAACCTAGCACAATGGGGAACCAATTTTGCATTGGGCTTTTAGATGCTACTATAACATCAATAGCTATAGCATTCATGCTAAGATACCAGTCAGTGTAACATCTAGGCAGGAGATGGAACACATACATTTAAGAATAGTAAGATATTACTTTGGGTCTTAAAATATAAAAATAGTTTAACTCCTTAGTTTTAGTCACTGTACTGTCAACTTTATTGCCAAAAATATGTTCACAAAATTATGAAGCTAGATTTGAGAGCTCCCCCATTACATAACAATGTTTTACCATTCACCCAAATACCATTTGCTAATACACAGTGCCAAAAAAAAATCGTACTTATATTGTTATATACTTAAGAATATAAGACCCTGATAGCAGTATTATTCTGATACTAGTTGGTGGAAAAGGTTAACTGATAGTGTAAAGCTGAGAGCTGGCATGTTTTGTATTAATCTCAATTAGTTTCTTTTATTTACCCTTCATTCACATATTAGATTTCTTTGTTTAGACTAAGAATTATACTAAGGGGCCAAATTCGGCTTTCAGTTGCACCCATGTAATCAAAGTGAAAATAACTGCATAGAGAAGTTAGAAGTCTCTGGAACCGCTCAGCTTAAAAAGAAAACAAACAACTATTCTTCAGGAATTTGTCATTCAGTCTACAGCACTCTCGATAATACAATGACATTTGTAAGAACATTCAGTTTAAGCAGAAGGATGAAAATTAATGATAGCTGATAGGCTGAAATATAACAAGCAAAATGAAAATTCAGAGCAATAGAACTCTGCAGGGGGAGGAAAGACACACTGAGAATGCTCTGCCTCCAATGATTTGTGAAGAAGTACAAAGAACAACCAAGTTCTTTCAATGACCTAGGAGGTAGCATTATCCCAGCAGGACACAGACCCTAGACAGTCCTACTGTGATTATGAATTACCTCAAATTAATTTTTAAAAGGATAATTCAAAGTGATTTTATTCTACTGCTGAAAAATAACCCTTACTAACACATATTAGAACTATTCCTGGAAGCAATCAGTACAGCTAAGGCTATACTGAGATTGTCATAACCCATGTTTTTGCATATTTAGAACACCTTCTTTGGGGGATGAACTTGTTTGTGAAGTCTCAGCTCATAGGGGAACTTCTTTGAAAATTTTGAGAACATCTTCAACTGTTCAAATGATAAAGGGCGAAAAAATAGTGTTGTCTATGGGGGTGATGAAGTACGACCTCTGACTGACATGTGTGCGCTGGATCAACTTAAAAAACAACAAATGGTCTGGTAGCACTTTATAGACTAACAAAACATGTAGATGATATCATGAGCTCGTGCTACCAGACCACTTGTTTTTTAAGTTGATCCTGTACAGACTAACTCAGCTACCCCTTGAAGCTTCTGAATGTGTGCGCTGGCAAGTGTAGTGTAGATACAGTTATGCCAGCAAAACTGCACTTTTGCTCAGGAGACACTTATGTAAGTTTTGTGGGAGGGGATTGCTAACGTGCATCTTCTGTTATCTCTGAGGCGACCCCCTGCTCAGATGTACTAATGCTATTTCAAACTAGATTCTCCAGTGAACAATAGACAAAAGTGGTTTTGGATAAACACCCTGGTTTTAAACTGACTCATTGCCTTCTTCCTGATTCAACAAATTGACAGGACTCTTGGTCCACAGAGGACCCTTATTATTTGGAAAGAGTTGGAAGTACTGGATCTATTGAGGCTGGATGCTTGTTCTGAGCTGAAGCTCTGATGAACTTGTAACCACAAACAATCCCCTTGGGCAAAAAGTTGAAAGACTGCTCCTGACAAATCCATGTTAGAGTGAATAGTGGTAAGCATATGAGCATGCATATAAGTTATTTTATTTTTAATATATTTTCTCTGTAATACTTTTTACCTTAAGAATAAAGTAGGTTTGCATAAAAAGTGTTATGTGGTACCTTTTAAATGAAGCAATTACAGGCAGTCCCCGGGTTACATGGATCCGACTTATGTCGGATCCCTACTTACGAACGGGGTGAGGGAACCCCGAACTAGCTGCGCCCCCACCACAGCAGACCGGTGAGACGTGCCGTGACAGTCCCGCCGCCCGCGTCCTCTGCGGAGAGAAAAGCCGCTCCGCGTCTGCCTGGACTGCTGGGGGGGGGGACCGCTAGTGCGCCCCCTCCCCC